CTTCACTCTGCTGTTAGTGTGGCCAGTTTTAGCAGAACTCTTGGCCAGTCTCCTCCCCTTGTTTCCAAGGTGAGTGGGAAATCAGGTTCTTAGGACTTTTTAAAATCCACCTAATAAAGACCCAAGAATTCTTCAAGGAGGCAAGGGCCTGGGGATTGATGCATGTACTTGGGGATATTTCCTTAAGGACTGGAGATCTTTCCTATTTAATTCCCGATCCTCATCACATGTTGTAGACATCTAAGACTGGGCAGAAATGCCCTCAGGTAAAATAAAGCATTTCCATTTCTACCACGTTTATAGTATCAAGGCAAAGGCCAATGTATAGCAAGACAGTTAACAGGACAATATCTGGGTATTTACATCACAAGACTGGGGAAATAGTAAAGCTTAGATAATACACAGAAACTTGTTAGATAATTATCATATTTAGCTACAAAGGGAGCTAGACAGTGGCCATTCCAACATTTCAAAGACCAAGCCACCATCAGCTATTCAAACATTATTTTGTACAATTTGCTAGTTGTTTCATGTAGTTCATTCTGTCTCTTGTATAGACCGGAAGCTCCTGGGAGCCAGGTCTTATCTCCTATTTGGTGTACAGTCCACAGCAAAGGTTTAAAACTTAAATTGTACCAAATACTTAAGTATTGACAGACTATGGCAGAAAAACAACACCACATAATGAGATCACTGTATATTAAGTATGATGAAGTTTTTAAAAAGGTATCATTATAAACTGCAACTCATTCAATGCTAAGATGAATATTTTAGGTTAATATCCCTTTTCTATTAAATTATATGCAAAGTAAAAATCCAAGGTAACTCATTACTCATGAAAATCTTTGGGAATGACAGGTGTGGTGGCACACACCTGTCATCCCAGCACTCAGGAAGCTGAGGCAGGAGGATTGCTGAGTCTGAAGCCAGCCTGGACTACCCAGTGAGCTCTAGGCTAGTCTAAACTATATAGTAAGACCCTGTCTCAAAAACTTAAGAACAAAAACATCTTTTGAGTTTACCTATACTTCTAGTAAGGGGTTAACATTTTGAATATATAAGAAATTTAAACAACTGACTAGCAAAAATATTAAAACACATAATTTGGCTTTAAAATGGGCAATAAATCTGTAGAAATATTTCTCCAAAGAAGACATACAAATAGCCAACAGGCATATGAAAATATTCAACATTATTCATCAGAGAAATGCAAATCAAAACCACAATGAAGTATCAATGCACTCCAATTGGAATGGCTATTATCAAGATGATAAAGATGACAAGTGCTGGTTCAAATGTGGAGGAAAAGGAGTGCTTCCACAAAGTTGGTGGGAAAGGAATTCAAATTAGTACAACTATTTATGGGAAACAGTATAGAAGTTCCTCAGAAAAATGGAAATGGAACTACTATATGATCCAGCAATCCAACTACTGAGCATATATCCAAAGGAAATGAAACTGTTACATCAAGAAAAAATCTGTACTCCCATGTTTTCAGCACTGCTCACAATAGCCAATAAAAGTAATCAACCTAAGTCTATGCCAACTGATGGATGAGAAAATGTAATTGTTTATACCCAATGGAATGCTGTGCAGCCATCGTGGTGGACTAATTATGGTCAACTTGAATGGGAACACATAGCTAAACTGAATCAGCGTGGTTCTGGGCATGGAAGACCCACATGAGGATTGTTGTTGGAGTGGCATAAAAAAAAGAACAGGAGGGAAAATTTCATGCTGTTGATTTTCCTGAAGAAGCTGCTTTTTGGCATTTTCTTCTTCAAAGGAGTTTAGGCTGCTGTCTTCCTGCAGGAGAGCTTCAATTCTAGTCTTCACCCCTACATCATCTTCTGGCTTCTGGCACAAATCTCTCAGCCTTCTCACACAGACCATTCATCCTTCCCGCACAAACTTTCTAGCTTCCACCACTGGCCCTTGGGCCTTTCCAGTACAGATCCTTGATACGGATTTGCAGGGCCATGGGCTCAAGCCCTTGACTGGATTCCTGGGGTCTCCAGCACACAAACCGATGACAACACTCTTCTACATATGACTCTAGTAAGCACTGACTAATACAGCCATGAAAAGTATGAAATCCTGTCATTATAACACTATAGATGGAAGTGGCAGACATTACATTAAGTGAAATAAGCCAGGCACAGAAAGACAAATACCATAAGACCTCACTCATAAGTGAAATCTAAACAAGTTGATTTCATAGTAAAGAAATGACAGCAGGACAATGGTTACAAGAGGCTGGAAACATGTGGAAATGGTAGGTTAGTGGGTACTAAATTACAGTTAAATAGAAGAAATAAATTCTGGTGTTCTATCTATTTTATAGTAAGGTGACTAAAGACAACGATAATGTACTGTGTATTTTAAAAAAGCCAAAAGAAATGCTTTTAATCTTTTTCCCACACAATAATACTATTTGAGGAACTAGATATGCTTACTCTTTTTGAACATTATATAATGTACACATATATCAAAACATCACTTAGTATCCCATGAATATGTATAACTTTTATTGCCAGCTGAAAATCTTTTGGGTTTGCTAAAAAGAAAATGCTTTGACAACTTAACAAAATAAAACATGAAATTATGAACTAGAACTAGAACAACCTTTTTAGGAATATGACAACATAATTACACTCATGAGACCAAAGCATAATTATGAAAGAAAAATATTCCTCAAAACTGTTTTATAAATTTTATGATGTATAAACTAATAAAGGAAATGTCTATTTCATTCACTACTCAATTTAGCAGTTTAATTTTATTTTCTGAGACAACTAAAAAAGGAATAGAAGATATTTATGCCAAAAGAAAACGCTCTTTAAACATGTACTGTACTAATCGAGTGTAACATCTGTAGCTTTTATTTTTATCCCATAGCTAATCCAGAAGTCAATAAAAACATAAAGGAATGTGGTATTTACATAGTAATTAAAGTTCATGGTATACACAAAATGTCAACGATAGAGTGGTGCCCCCAAGTGGTATAATGAGAAACTACAATAGTCTGACATACTAGAAGCGCTTTGTACCTACATAAAGCTCTTCTCATTTTGTCAACTTCTTTGATTAAACTAGAAGCACATGTTATTTGAATCTATATTTCATAGGAGCTAGCACTAAGTGTCCTACGGCTCAGCTCGGGCTCACTGTCCACTCCAATCAACCTCTTTAACAGTGACAGCAAAGGATAGTCTGACACGTAAATGTATCACACACCTTCCTTACTAGCTCAAAAGGAAGTATGTCTCCAAAACAATTAAGACTGTCAGATCTACTCTGACCTACTAAACACCATTATAGAAGTCTTTTAGGTAGTAGTCATCTTTTGCCTACCTTTAATTACATGTTTTGTGATATGTAAAGCAGAATTTAAAACTTACTTAACCAAATTACTTGGACAATGAGTGGTACTAGTAATGTGCAATTCTCCCAGACTGGAGGTTCAATCATTGATACTTGGGGTGGGCAGCTAAAAAGTAATGAGTTCAGTTTACTGCCTCTGCACAAGTATTAAACATAGCAATTGCTAATGAGTTGGCATCTTATGCAGCTAAACAGTTTACATTCTGAATTCTCTTTCACATTCTGAAATTTCTTTTGGTCAGTCACAGATATTTAAAAGAACAGACAAAAGAATGGTTACAATCTCAAGAAATATCCTTGGAAAAGTTTTTAAGCCATATGCCTAATAACCAGATTACTTTTTGAGATAGTTCCTCTTCTAAAAGCAAAATGCAAGTCAGGCACACAGTCATTCCTATAATCCCAGCACATAGGAGGCTGAGACAAAAGGTTTAGGAATTTGAGGCCAACTTGGGCTACACAGTGTGTTCAAGGCCTGCCTGGACTACACAATTGAGATCCTATCTCAAGAGACACAAACATACAAAGTACAAATGGAAAACAAAACTTCATTCAATAAATGGTTCCAATTGCAGCCATTGGAGAGTGACTAGCTAAATTTTTATTAGGCATCTTTTTAATTACTGCACTGACTTGGATTGTTCATAATTAAGATGAATGTTGGCTGTTACTGAGTGATCATTATGCATATGGCAATGCAATATCTCTATCTTATATAAATAGGTAGATATTTTATTTAATCCTTATTACAGTCCTCTGAGGTATTATATTCATTTTACAGACAAGAACACTAAAGCTTAGATTAGGAAGTAAGATAACTTTAACCTCACAGTTCAGAATAGGTCTAGTACTGCACGTTGTACTATTTTTTTAAGTATTTGATGAATTCTACAGGGAAAAACAAAGAATAGGTCTGGCTTTACTTCTTGACTTGTTTACCTCCAAAACCATTAAGCAGCTTAATGGTGACACTGTCCTTCCCTCCTTCTAGCATTCCAGGATTTAGTGAGCAGTTATATCCATTCTTTTTCTGATTTTTAGCAAAGGAAGCCAAAAGTAAATGTCTTCAAATATCAGCATATAGTGGAAATGTATGATGCAATTGGGAATAAGGGGCATAGAGAGAGGCAGAAATGTGGCTAAATGAAGGATACAGAATTTGTCTAAAGAGAGTAGCCATTACCCCCGCTCCAGCTCCCTGTGGCTACACAGGCACCAATGCTGGCAAATGTTACCTACAAATGTTACCTCTGCTTTCTAGAAGAGCTGAAACATTGAATTTTTGAGACCTGCCCATTTAAAAAATTGGGCAACTAATTTAATTCAGATTTAAAGAGAAATACTGCACAAGACAAATGAAAAACATCAGAAGGCTGAATGTGGCTCATATGTAATATGTTTTAGAGATTCTAATAATAAATTATTCCTCTCCCAATCCCCAAGTGTGCGGGGTGGGGGGCTTATCTGAAGAGATCAAGAAAAGAACTTTTCTATCTTTACTAACTTCTCACTTTAATGCAAAGAGCAAGGTGTATATTATTCTGTGTTCTTATTCCATTAAGAGCTGTACATAAAGGGCAGCCAACTCGATATTTGTATAAAGCATTTTTACTTACAATTTCTCTTCTTGTCTGGCTTTCTTATCTGAAACCAGATAGACAGTTCCAAAACTTCCGCTGCCAAGTTTCTGCTGAAGCACATACCTTCTTGCAATCAAGGCCTGTGGAGAAGTGGAAATGGCTATTGATCCACTCCCACACTTAGCAGCTTCTTGGAATTTCAACATTGCTCCAAATGGGATTGAACTGGTTTATTCATATATGGAAACCTAACATTGAAGTCTCCATGGTCAAATTCATCCAAGAAGTACTGATCAATGCCTGAAACATGAAAAGTACACAGGTCAGATCTAATTGATATTCAAAGATTCCTAACAAAAGGTCTAAGTCTTTGACAGTGAGACCTGCACCTTGATTAAAAGACTGAATGGCATCATATTGGTTAGTTTATTGAGTTCAGAAGTGGGGAAATGGTAGAAATACTGCAAGTTCCAGAATAGACTTTCACAGAAAGACAACATTCCATCATCCATTCAAATTTATCAAAATTGATTTATAGCCAAATTTCCATAAATTTCTGAGATGTTTATCTGTTTCATAATCAATAATCTGTTTAAAACTTTTACACCCCACCAACTTTAACAAAATCCAAATATGAGACCATTATCATATTCTTGGATCTGTGCACTTGTATCAACTCTTCAGGAGAATTACATGTCTGTTTGGTTTGCTTTGGTTCACAAACAATGAGTTAGGATTCAACAAGAAATTAGCATGATCCAGGTCTCCTCTGGATTTTTTTTGGACCTGAGTGGAGGCAGCACATCATGGTGAGCAGCATATGGCAGGATGAGAACACATGATCTACAGTGAAGAAAAGATGTGATAATCCCCTTTGAGAGCACATCTCAAGAACTAAGTAAGTCCTGTAGACTTTAAATCACAATTTCTGCATTTATTCAAATAGATGTAAAAAGGGATAAGGATTCATAGTGAATTTTTTTCATCCTAATCCAATTCTGATCTACTTTCTGAAATTTTTATTTATACCCCCTGGATAGAGTAACACTCCTGGGTTTGAAGTAACACAAATGCAGTTCAAACCTAAAACTGTATTTCAATGTCAGCCGAATATAAATGTGTTATAGGTAAACCTATACTTCCTCATGAGGCTATGAAATGTAAGCTATGAAAAATATGATTATTTCATATGAGGAGGTATACAGTAAAATCGCTTTTATTTCAACAAAATGTCAGCTGTTTTTCCAGTAATATTGAAGTGTTTTAAATTCATATGAAAATATGAATTTAAAAATTGAAGACTCTGCTTTGGAGTTTTCATATTTAGCAATTCCAAAGCAATAAGACATAAAACTATTGTTATAATGCTGGTCAAATGGCTTTATGTAATATCTTTAAACCACAAAAAACAGCAAGGCAGTCAAGCACAAAAACACCACAAATTTTTTCAAAATACAACATAAAGACAACAAAAATAAAAACCACAAAAACAAAAAAGTGGAGAACAGGCTTCCTGAAGTACCTTTTGTTTGTTTCTTTCATTGGCATAGAAATGATGCTTTCTGCCCAAATTAAACTGTTTGGAAAAATGGACTCAAATGAAAAGGTCCTTTCAGGTCATTCAGTTAAGTAATTCTCTATTTTGGAGAGGGAATTAGGTCCCTTGTTCAATGAAGAATTAGAGAAGCACACAACAGTTATGTGAAGTCCAAATCCAGCCACTCCTATTTATAAAAATGGCGTGTTTAAATCCAGCATTGTCTACCAGTCAGCACAATACTCTAGGACCAGGTTCTTGCCACCGCCTTCCCAGCCTATTGTGTAGGTTGTTCATTCCATTCGTGTCTTCGGTGCAGACTGTACTGGCTACCAAGATTCCAGAGTCACTTTTCATTTGCCAACACTCTTCACCTGTCAAAGCTGGTGAATGAACCAGACTGCAGGCAATACACCCTTCTTCACCTTTGTACTCCCAGTGCCTGGCATAACGTCTGGCATATACTACGTGTTCAATAAACACTGTGAGGGCCAATAGTGTCCAACAGACATGACTGTCCCCCAAGGAGAAAAAAGAGGGGAAGAAAGCTGGACAGGAATTTAGATTAGGGTGGCGGGATTCCCACTATCCATGGGAAATGAAACCAGTCTCGTTGAGGCAAAAGACAAGAGAAAGTTTACCCAAGTTAAAAAGCAAGTTTCTCTTGTCAGATGAAGGGTTGAAGCCGATGTCAACACAGCTTCTGCTAAAATAGGGCTCTAACCTTAAAGGTAAACCTTAACCTCAAGGTAAAGAGAGCAATTTCCCTTTCTCTTCAACTTTCAAAAAACTGACACTTTCTGGAAACGGTTTAACATAACGGGAACCGGATACATTTGTCGGAAGGAGTCCAGGGAAGTGAGAAAGGTGTGAGGTAGGAGGCCCAGAAGTGCGGACCCCGGCTGAGGCGGCTGGAAACCACTACCTTTACCACGCGGGGGAGCCTGGCACGCCCTGAGGAAAGCCACTCGCATTACCTTTCCCCACCGCAGGCGGAGGAGAGTTAGAACAGGCCAGGCCCAACTCACGTCCGTAATACCCCAGTGGGCTTCAATTTAGGGGCTGCGGAATCCGCCGAGATCCGCACAACCTCCGCCAAGGTTGTTTGGCGCTGTCGTCAAGGAAACGGCGCGGGGCATTCTGGGAAATCGAGGCAAGACAGGCAGGCGGAAGTATCCCCGGACCCAAGTAGGCGGGGAAACGAGAGGAGGGCTAGGCTCTAGACTAGACGGAAGCCGTTGCGGAAAGTAAATCCCAGCCTTGTTTAGCAGTCTCGCGCCTGCAAATCCTAGCGCACTTTCGCCCGGACACGGTGGTCGGCCCTAAGAGTCAGGGATATCGGCTTCCCGGTGACGTCAGACTCGGCGACTTCCGGTTCCTGCCCTAAGGTAAATGCTCACGTGCTGGAATGTTGGTTCTCGCCAACCTCCTGTGGGCTTGGGATGGAGGGTTTGGGTTTCTGGAAAGACCGAGTAGTTGGATTGTGCTGCTGGTCGAAGCGACTACTGTCAGGGCCAGTGTGGCGCGGTATATGAAGCGCCTGAATTCGAGGAATTAAGATCAGACCTTTTGCACACGAGTGCTCTGGCCAGCTCGCATTTGTTGCTACTCTGCAATCCTATGGTTGGTTTAGGATGAGTCAGTGCGGTCTGTGTTCTCAGAAGTCTTCCATGACAGACTTATAAATAAATCAGCACTATACAGGCCGAGATGCCAAACTTGGAGGAGGTGAGTCCCTATAAATTAAAATGAAAGCTATTGTTGACAAAATGTCACGGTTTTAAATAAAGACAGGACTTAGTAACAGTGCCACAATAAAGGCTGAGACTAAAGAAAAACGAGTAATGCTAATCCTATGAATTGATACCCAGATGGAGAAGCATAACTGGGCCAGATATGCAAAAGTAAGATGAAGAGGCCTCTGGGATAAAACTGAATAGTTGAGTTCCTAAAGGGAGGAAGCAGTTTCCTTCAGCATAGACTATGCCAATTAAGAAGCAGACAGGGAGCCCAAGACTTGAAACAAGTTGCCAAACTCCATCAATAAAAAAGAAAGTTTAAGTCTGTATCAGGGTTCTCCATAGTTTAACTAAAGCCCAATAAAGGCTTTTTTGATTTTTGAATAAGATTGATAGGGATAAACTATTTTTATACCTTAGGACTTTTTACTTTACCCCTACAAAGTGATGCAAGGTTGTTACTATAGATTTATCTCAGTATCAAAATTCACAACTATACTGGTGTTCCTTATTGCATTTTAATTAAATTTCCTTTAGAATCAGCAGCTGCCTCATCCTATACAAAGATCAAAACTCATGAAACCACTGAGTTTCCTCTGTACATTACTGGGAAAACAAAAGAGAATTTTAAAAAGCACTCAGCTACTATTGCCTGGGGATGTAGGTGACTATCAGAGATGTTGACACCCAACGTGTTCTACCTAGAGAGCACTTCATAACATTTGCTATTGTTGTAATGGTGCTAGAAGCAATGAACTGGTACCCCTATATCTGGCAATAATTGAAATGTGTTCTGTTGTTTTAAGCAGATAGGTCTTCAATCTGTCATCATGGGTATCCGAGGACTAATGAGTTTTGTGGAAGATCATAGTAATGAGTTCTTCACTGATTTGAAGTTGCGGGACACAAAAATTGTCATAGATGGCTACGCTCTTTTCCACCGACTGTGCTTCAATTCAGACTTGGAGCTCCGTTATGGAGGAGACTATGATTCTTTTGCAGATGTTGTACAAAATTTTTTTGAGTCACTGTTTACTTGTAATATATGTCCATATGTTGTGCTTGATGGAGGATGTGATATTTCTGACAAAAAGCTTACAACTTTAAAGGATCGAGCTAGAGAGAAGATCCAGATGGCCCATTCCCTTTCAATTGGTGGAGGTGGGTATGTGTGTCCCTTACTCATCCGGGAAGTGTTCATACAGATTTTGATCAGACTCCAGGTACGTTTTGTCCAGTGCTTTTCAGAAGCAGATCAGGACATCATGACACTTGCCAATCATTGGAATTGCCCTGTATTATCATCGGATAGTGACTTTTGCATTTTTGATTTGAAAACTGGGTTTTGCCCATTGAATAGCTTTCAGTGGAGAAATATGAACACTATTAAAGGGAAAAAAAACTACTATATTCCTGCCAAATGCTTTTCTCTTGATGCCTTCTGCCATCACTTCAGCAATATGAACAAAGCTCTGCTACCTCTCTTTGCAGTGCTATGTGGAAATGATCATATTAATTTGCCTATTGTGGAGACATTCTTAAGTAAAGTATGCCTTCCTCTTAGAGCTACTAGTTCTAAAGGAAGGAGACATCACCGAGTTCTGAGAATTCTGAACTGGTTGTCTCATTTTGATAACCCTACTGAAGCACTAGATAATGTTCTGAAACATCTGCCAAGAAAGGATCGAGAAAATGTTAAGGAACTTCTCTGCTGCTCCATGAAGGAATACCAGCAGTCCCAGGTGAAGCTACAGAACTTCTTCCAGGATGGTACTTTTATCTGTCAAGATGCCATGAATCTGGGTTTACCAGACTGGGTGTTGGTGGCTTTGGCCAAAGGCCAGCTATCTCCATTCATAAGTGATGCTTTGGTACTAAGAAGGACCATTCTTCACACGCAAGTAGAAAACATGCAGCGACCAAATGCCCACAAAATTGCTCAGCCTATCAGGCAAATAATTTATGGGCTTCTTTTGAATGCTTCATCACATCCCAAAAACATGTCCCCAAATGCATTGCCATCTCAGCCTCTAGCTTTCTGTGAAGTAGAAAGGATTAATAAAAATATCAAAACATCCATTGTTGATGCAGTAGAACTGCCCAAGGATTATACTGACTTGAGCAAACTGACCAAGGTGAGAATTTGTAATGATAGTGAAATTGTGATAAGGTGCATTCATAGATATTCTTTCTCATAATCTAACAAATCCAGGTTAGTTGCTATCTTGTCTTCATTTTGTAGATAAAACTAGAATTCAAGTGAATTAGGTTTTTTGGTTTTTTTTTTTGGCCAGTGTTTGTGCTAAGACTAAAACTAGCACTTTAAGCTCTAAATCTGCCATGTCTGCTGTACTTTGTCTTGTAATCACTACTACTTTTTATACCTGCAGTCAGTAGAATAGGGTTAGGGTTATGCAACTAAACAAAAAGGGAAATCCTCTGAACTGCAAAAATAAAATATTCATATAGGTACTATGTACAGGCATAACTAACATTGCAGACTACATCAGATTAGAATTGATGTTTAGGTCTAATATTTTCATTAGTGAATTTTTTGAACTTCAGGTTTGTGCCATCAAGGTAACTTAGTTTGATACTAAAAAGTGTGACTCGGCCTAAGACAGTGTTACACAAACCTGAATAACACTCAGACCAATCCCCATTTCAAGGGGAAAAAATCCTCACGGATTCCAGTATTATTCCCTTTCCTTTTTATAATGACATACATATATTAAAATGACAAGTATGAAATTGCTCATCCTGATAATACAATTAAACACAGTTTAAATGCAGATAAATTTACAAAATCAAGTGTAATGCCCACTGCCTTTTCTTAGACCCAACTAAATATCCAGGTGCCAGTCTACTTAAAGAGTGTGGAACAGCACCACAGCTTAACGGGTGTGAGTCAGACCTTCCATTTCTGGGAGTCTATCCTATCTTCTGCATCAGTCTGCACCAGTAGTTCTCCACCATCAGTACATCTGTCCCTCAGGGGACATTTGTCAACACTTGGAGATATTTTGATTTTCACTTCTGAGTGGAAAGGTGGTTGCTGCTTACATCTATTAGGCACAGTCCAAAGATGCTGGAAAACATCTTACAATGCCCAGAACAGCCCCCCATATCAAAGAATTACCTGTCCTATTGTGCAGATAACCAGGGACTACACTATGTATTTAACCTTGCCTCTAGTGATAATCTCAAGCACGAGAAAAGAAGATTCATATTAAGTGGGTGCAAGAGCCTCTGTGGCATTGGGGAATGACTGCTAATAGGAACAGGCTCTTTTGGGAGTGATGAAATGGTTCTCGAATTAGTGGTGATTGCACAGTCTAAAACATATACTAACACCACTGAATTACACACTTTCAATGAGTAAATATAATGAGATGTGAATTATATCTCAGTTAAAGAATAGAAGAAAGAAAACCTCACTGGCTTAAGATCCTCCTTTATCTATAGGATCCAGTCTCTCTTATAACAATCCCACAGACAGCATCTGAGGTCCCTGCCCCAAGACACAGTACCCAATTAGGTGTCTACAATTAGTTTAAGGTTCAAGCACAGATAACAGCTTCACAAGAGTCATTTTTATCCTGCTTAACACAACTGACAACCTACCTTTCTCACATTTCCAGGGGTTGAACTTGGGTCATATTCTCAAACAAGCGATTAAAACTTAACCCACACCAATAAATTCAAATTATATTTCTCCTCAGACATAAGTGGTACTGTTGGAAGTTTAAAAAAAAAAACTTAAACAGCTTTACTGAGAAATAATGTACAAGTGCAGTGTTTTGATGGTTTTTCATGTTTGTTCACATGAATCCATCACTTCTGAGTTTCCTCTTACCCCTTTGCAGTCACCCCTGAGTATATATATAAAATACAATGTGCACAGATAATTGTCCAAATTGAATTTTCACAAACTCGTTACATCCATGTAGAGCAGCCAGATCAATCATTACCAGCTCAGAAGCTTTCCCTAGTGTCTGGCTCGTCACTCCTTCTACCTCCTATAATGACTCTCCTGACATTTTAACGATACAGACTTCACTGTTTTTATAAAGGAATTGTTTTATCTGGCTTTTAACTTATGTGTGAGATTCCTTTGTACTGCTGTGAGTAGCTGTAGATCATTCCTCATCGCTGTAAACATACTATACTACAACTGACAAATGTGCCATGAACATTTTAGTACTCATCACATGGTGGACATAGGGACACATTCCCACTGTGTCCACATATGATGGTACATATATAAATACTAGAATTACTGAGTCAGTTGCTGGGTCATAGCTTATTAGACACTGCCAGTGGCTTTGAAAAGCAGGTGCACCAATTAATATTCACACCAGCAGTACATGAGTACTTCTTCCCTTATACCTATCCCAGTACTTGGTATTTTCTAGCCTTTTAAAAAATACTACCTATTCTGGTGGATGCCTAGTATCATTTTACCATGAAATTTGTATTTCTCTGAGCACCTTTTTATGTGCTCATTAGCCATTTGTGTCGTGTTCAAAATTTTTTGCTCATTTTCCTAGAGCTGCATACTGATCCTGTTAAATAACATTATTGTGGGTGGACCCTTCCATTCTTTCACTCCATTAGTTTGATTAACAGTTCTTAGTCATTTAAATTTTTATTATTTATGATTACTTTTGTGATGTACTAAAGGAATTCCAAGATCATGAAAGTGGTTTCTTGCCTTCCACATTTAGATCTATATCCAGAAATGATTGTGTGTGTGTATGGTATGAAAAGGGGGTTGTGACACTTTTCCTCCAGATAGAAATCCAAGTGAATCATTGAAGTGTAGGATGCTGATTATATTCTTTACTAAGTGGAGATGACACAAGTGTTCTCATCATTTACCTGTATTCAAAGTAAAGTGAAATTTTAGTTCTCTCTGTGCTGTATCGTTTGGCTTTCCCTTGGCATGAACTAATCCATTGGTAGTAAACCTATGGTACATTACTGTTTTAAGACAAAAGATGTTACTGTAGAGTTTTTCTAAACTAAAACCTCAGTATTCAGGCTTAATTACAGTGCTGGTACTTTGTATTAAGTGGGTTTAGGGTTGTAGTTTGGCAGTCTCTAAAAGATTCAACATCACCGAATCAATTCTGCATTTAGTTCAGTGTTTCTGGCCCTACTTAGCCCATAATCATTCTAAACAGGACGTAAGTTCAAATGTGATTCCAACTACAAATGCAGGTACAAGAAAGGTATAGAAATCTTGTAATCCTGGCTATTTGGTCCTTGTGCTTGCGAGGCCAGCAGTGGAACCACTGAGCCAAATCCCCGGCCCTTGTGCCAGCTCTTGAGACAGAACTTCACATCTCACAGAAATCTCATCCTATAGTGTCATTTTGGTTATTAGTGGCAGGGGACAGAATTATCACTCAAATTAACAAGCAAGCACAAGGTTAATCACAAGGAGACTTGGGACCAGGTCATTCTTGGTATGAGGCAGTACTCAGGACCAGGCTCTTCTCAGCACTTCTGCCTATGTACCAGCTTCTTTTGCAGGACTTTTACTCCCCCTGAGGGAAAGGAATTGTCACATAAAAAAACCAAACAACTCCTAAGGGCTATAAGTAGACTAGTTCTTCTGTGGGAAGGCAGTGAGGACTGGTGAGTTCAGTGAAACTTCTGCTGCTCATTCTGCACATGATCAGACAGGTGTAGAAAAGCTCAGAAACTTTCCCACAGGTCAAGTTTAGGGAGAACATCTCTGAAGTGAAAGTTAAGACTGCTTTGTTCATAAAGTTGTAACTTGACTTGAGAAGTCAATAATTTGTTATATGACAGAAAAGAGTGTATTTTGGACTTTCTAAAAAACTATTTTAGAAGATTAATTTTTAAGCAGTTAAAATGTGTACTTGTTATTTTGTAAAGCACTTGGCATATTTCTTTAATAATTTTCTCACAGTATTAAATTACCAAAAACACTATTTAAAATCATAGTGATAATCATAGGCCTCATGCATTGATGATGAAAGTTTTGTCAAATATGTGTTTTATTTCGGGTTAACATATCTTTTCTTAGCTGTCAACCACTCTTAGATTGCTAAGCAATGCACACTATTTAAAATCATAGTGATAATCATAGGCCTCATGCATTGATGATGAAAGTTTTGTCAAATATGTGTTTTATTTCGGGTTAACATATCTTTTCTTAGCTGTCAACCACTCTTAGATTGCTAAGCAATGTACCACTGTTAGGTGCTAAGAAATGTACCAGATTCTTTCATCCTACCAGAAGAAAAATATTTTTTTTTCTGGCTGCAGGCAGACACTAGCAATACTAATATTTTCTCAGAGCTTGACTATAAAGTTCCCCTATAAGTGCCCTTTTAATAGTTTTAATGTCCTTTGCTGTGAGAGTGACTCATGAGGTCCATAAGTTTCTCAAAAGTCTTGAGATTCGTTAAAGTAAAATGACTTAATAAAGAAGTTTACAGCTCTTTTTGGCCATTTCCTTCTGAGCCAGAAGTATACTCTAAAGAATGAAGAAAAATGAGTATGGTGAGTTACTGCAAGCATGGTGCAGGTAACCCTTAAAATGTTCCCATCTCCCTTAAATGTGCCCCTAACCTACTAGTAGCCATCCTGTCACAGTCCCTGTGTAGGAGAAAGCAAAGCCATTAAAATATTCAGCAGGAGAAGTACAGGACCTACCATATATGATACAACTGTATGATATGCCACAAAGGAACACATTAAGGAAGTTGTCTTCTGAGGGTGATCTCTGAGGGTATTGCAGAAAAGATGGGTGTCTAAATGCTAGCTAGTAAGAGTGGGGCTGAGTAGCATACTTGGGCTGCTAATTAAAATATGGATTCTTGGGCTCCTCAGATTACTGAGGCAAAACCTGGGAGTAAGACCTGAGGACTCAGTTTCTGACAAGCTGCCATGTGATAAGTATACTGAACATACTCAGCAGCCTATATCAACAGGATTCAGTAACAGAAGGCTATTTAGTGGAAATAGACCATGCCCACTTTCACCAACCATACTTAATGTGTACCATATTAATGTTCTAAACACTCTGTATAGCTGATTTTTTTCCATAGATAAGTTTCACAACTAATATCTTCATGCTACTTTTTTTAAAAAAGGTTCCTAAAGTAATATGCAGGATGTCTGGTATTTTCAGCTCTCATTGGTTAGGCGGCAGATGCTTCTGTTAGAAACTCTGAAGGTGAAACAAACTATCCTGGAGCCAATCCCACCTTCTTTGAAATTGCCCATTGCTGTCAGTTGCTACTGGTTGCAGCATACAGAGACCAAGGCAAAGCTCTATCATCTGCAAGCTCTACTGCTGGGGATGCTGATGGGGCCTTTGCACTCCATGATCTACAGCCCTGGTAGGTATTTCAGAAATTGATTAACTGTTTCTGTACGTTGCTTACAATGTATCTTCAAGAGTTCACACAAAAATACCTCAATTACTTACCCCCATCAGTTACATGAGAAATAAGGTGAGGTACCAAAATGTCTTTCACTCATTGGGATGGAGAGATATATATACATATATATATTTAACACTTTGGCATGCCAGACTGTCCCACAGTGTTTGACTCCAAGTAAACAGCTGAGATGTGCTGGTACTGCCCAAACCCATTTGCTCTGTGGCACCTGAAACTTTAATATGTGAAGTGTGACAAGGTGTCTTTGCCAGTTGCATTTGTTTTTTAGTACTGAGGATCAAACTACGGACCTTGCACCTGCTAGGCAGGCGGCAGCACCACTGAGCTAAATCCCCAGCCCTCCAGTTGCATTCCTTACCCTATCATCACACAAGAAAATTACTTAAAATTGCTCAGAAGTAAAACTTTTGGTTACCTGCAACCACAATAAACTTACTCATGCTTGTGTTTTTAAAAAAACTAATATTATTTTTGGACTATAGTTTTCATTAGTATATAAGGATAGAAAAACTATTGGAGGAACAGATTAAGGCAATTTCATATACATTTAAAATATCAGGTGAAATAAATGTTGAAGCATTGGAACACTTTAGTTCTTTAATGCTTCAGGGCCTTTAAGATTAGTGTTGTAATACAATCTAAACCTGTATGAAATCTTCATGCTGTAGAACAGTGTTATACAGTAGCTGCTAGCCACATGTATCTCTTCAAGTTACAATCAAGTTAAACTCCAGCTTCTCAATCACACTAATCATGTTTCAAGTGCTTTGCAGCCACATGTGGGTACAGCATACATACTGGGTTGAACAACAGATATAGAATAGTTACCTTTTTTGTGGTGAGGGGTATAGTTTACTTTTTTAGAAGAATAAATAATGAAAGAACAAAATAGCATGGACCTAAAAACACCCAAAGTATTAAGGCTTACATGTGACAGCAGCCTTCTGAAGGACTGCTGGTGAATGCCAGCCAACTTAAGAAACACTTAAGGCCTACTCCTGCCTTAGTTACACAGGCTGAGGGCACTTCCTCTCTGAATAATAGATGCATTATAGGGAAACTCTCAGAGCATGAGCTGTTGTTTTACCAGAGTCCTACAGAAGGGACATGTCAAGGGTCTGTTTCTTTTCTTTTAGGAAATACAGAGTCCGCACCCAGGCAGGCCAGTGCCTGTCTGCTTGTTAGCTGGTGAAAGGTGGGCCTCCTTTTTGTTACTTTCAAGTTGATCCAAGTGTTATTTCGTGTGCCTCTGCTTAAACCTGCAGAAATTCACATCTGAACATAAACAACATTCAGTATTTCCTAAGGTGGTTGTTTCTTGCCCTTTATTTTCTAGGTGAAGAAGCTAATTACTGGATTCTGAGATTTTGAGTCATATTTTTGTCTTCCTCACATAAAATAGATTAAAATTGCATTATAAACACACAAGCTTTTTCTTTAAAACAAATGCACTATATTATGGAGCTTTCCATGAAAAGAAACCAGTAAAGAGAAGAATGTTTAATAGTCATCTATATTTTTCAGACACATTTGAGTTCACATGCACACTTTTTTATGGTCAGGTAGTACCAGCAGTGGAAGTGATCTTATTTCAAGGAAAAATTAAAAATTGGGAATTGAATAAAGCTGGGTTACCATTAAGAAGATATTTCAGTATAAATATTTCAACTTACACAGCAAGGTATGTATGAAACCAGAAGAGAAAAACAGTTAGTTTCTTAGACTAATTTTCTTCTTTGTGGAATCTCAAGTCTGTTTGGAAAAAATGGGAAGATGATGCTGTTTTGGGAAATGCTGCCCTTGTGTTCTTTGTCTAGGTAAGGAAGATCTGCGGGAAGGTGGTGCTAAGATGTTGTATGAAGACTTCCAGAGGGAGAAGGAGCCACCACGCCAGGGCCTGAGTTTGGATTTAGACACGGCTCACATCTTCTGTCAGTGGCAATGCTGTCTCCAGATGGGGATGTATCTCAATCAGCTGCTGTCCACTCCTTTCCCAGAGCCAGACCTAACTCGGTAAGCACCATGGAAAACTTTAGTTCAGATGATAACACACAGTGAATAAATAGTCTTATTCATATTTAAAACAAATCGTTACTTTAAAACATCTATGTAATTGATCTTGAATCACTGTTATATCTGAAGAGCTGGAAACAGGAAAAATATTATTTCTATATTCCTGAGGAATGTTTCCACAATAAATTCATTTTTTAAAAAATCAGGAGAAAGGGGGCAGTTGTTGCTAGGCTATAACTCATTTCTTTACTTCCTTCAAGTGGGTTTTTAAAGTATTACTTTATAGAGGCCTTTTCTGATCTACCTACTGAAATATCACTCTCTATTCCCAGTACTCTAATCTTGCTACTCTGCTGCATTATTTTTATTCCATTTCTTACCACGTACTCATTTATTAATTATATGCTCACTCATTTGAATATTTATTAAATGCCTACTCTGTGCTATAGTGAACAACAATAACAAAATCCTCTCGTGCAGCTTTTATTCTAGTGAAATGACTATTAGACATTATCTAGCATTACTGTCTTGCAACACAAATATGAAGAAGTTGAACCTCTACACCAGGGAGTGATTATTATGTTTGACCCTGGAGTTTAAGCTGAGGAAGACAGAAATGAGAGCTGCAAGGACCCTTGAACAAGGGACAGGATCAGTGGATTGGGTATTTTACGAATTATCCATATAAGAGATGCCAGAAGGACAGATGATGAAAAGGTGATGGATAGAAAATGAAGTATTATAGGTTGTATGTTTTCTTTATCTCTTTCTATCCAAATATAAGCTGTGTGAAGGCAGAGACTTGAGTATTACTGTACAAGCAGCAAGTCCAGACATTCCTCTTAATAATGCTTTTGGCAGGAAGGACTGTTCTTTCATTGCAGCAAAGTCAAGGCTTTTTAAACACTGATTTTACATTGGTTAAACGATGTGTTGGCACTGATTGCTAAGGCACGAGATGATCAGCTCTGCTTCATATGTACTAAATTTAGGTATTCTAGGGAATCCATCTTGTTTTCATTTTAGTCAAAGTGAATGATCTTGCAAATAATGCCAGTATAGTTTTCTAGTAGTTAAACAAACTGTTTGGTTTATCAACATCTTAAATTCCTTTTCTTTGAAGATTAAAGAAGCCTACTCCACTTGAGGCTAGTTGTAAAACCAGTAAGCATCATTTAATTTGATAATTTAGTCATCAGGCAAAAAGTAATCGTATTAATTGTTCAGATTCTTCCAACAAGGAACAGATTATTTTAATAATTTTATAGGAATGACTGCTCAGTGTTCAGATAAATTCATTGAAGCAATGTTAAGTAAAGTTGTCCTGCTGCATTGAACACTTTTTTCTCACTAAAACCACGTTTTTTTTTCTCTCACTGAAGACTATACAATGGAAGCCTCGTGCATGGACTGTGCCGACGACTGCTAGCATCAACTTCCATAGAAGGCCTCCTGAGCACGTGTCCTGAGGCTAAGCAACTTTATGAACATCTGTTTAATGCCACAAGGTCATATGCTCCAACTGAATTATTCCTACCAAAGGGTAAATCAAATACAAGGAAAAAAAGGCAGAAGAAAAAGGGTACACATTGGTCAAGTAACAGTGGGGGAACCACCTCAGATGCTGGGGGCTGGTACAAGGGGAGCAATCGCTTTGGCCTGTTAATGGTGGAAAACTTGGAGGAACACATTGAGGCCTCTGAGCCCGAATAAGCTCCATCTTCATCAAACTAGATGTATAATTCTTACTGAAATTTTTCTTAGTCTTCCTTACATTAATAATTTTTAAAATTTGGATTCCAAGGTATTTTGTATACTATTTTTAATAAATACAATGATTTAAGAAATTTCTGTGTAAATGAAAGTTATTTGTATTTCTCATGTTCCATTTCAGTAAATTATTTTATAAACATTAAATTGCAACTTCTTAGCCAGCTGTGTTTACAAAAGAGAAGCTCCACTTCAGTTACTTCCTATAAATCGAAACTAGTAATGATTTCAAAAATTTTTTTTCAATAGTTTATTATTTTAGCATGAAAACTGGGCTCACAAAGAGAAAAGGAGGGCACCAGATAGAAGAAATAACTTAGTAAATGAGGCCACACAAGGTTGACAAGCCTTTAGATACACCCCAAGTGTTAAAGTGAAGATGCCACTGCAATGGCCTCAGCAACATAAAAGCATTCTGGGTTGCTGGATCTGGAGGGGGAGGTAGCAAGAAGAAATGAAAATATCAGATACATAAGGCAAAAGTGGATTTTAGGTCCTCTTTTAATATTACAGGTTTTGAAAAATAATAATCATACCGAACTTTTTAAGATTTAGGCATGCAACCCACAACCTCATACATGCTAGGGAAGTGCTCCACCCTTGAGCTATAATAGCTCTCTGATCCTTGTCAGCATTTTTTCAATGGAAAAAACTAGAATGAAAAATATCAGATACACACATTAGATGGTTGTAAAAAATGTCTTACTGTAGTCAAAATTTAAGTTCAAAAGGCACTTTTCTAGAAAATACAAGGTACTAAAATTGCAAAGGCCAGTTGTAAAGGTGCTGGCCAACAATTCCAAATAACATAAAAACAAGTAAGTGGAATGAATACTTTTGGGTAAGATCTGAAAAGTATATTCTGACCTTCATTTATTCACATTAACTATATTCTTCCTTCTTCTTCATTCTCCCATTGGTATATTCCATCAGTAATCATCCAAACATGCTTGAAGCTGTGCCACTTTGAACAGGCCTTTGTCCAGTTCTTACCATCTGATAAACAATTTTATACACTTTTCTAGAAATACCGTATTTTGAGGAGTAACAGTACCATCCAGTGTTACACACATACCTTGCAAGTGTTGACTGGCTTAGTCATTTACAAAATGCAAAAATACAATGTCATTAGCTCCTAATGTTCGGCCCTAAAAACTGATTTGTTTCAAATAGTTCTTGAAATAAGATTTTTAAAAAAATTATTTGTGAGAATGCATAGGACTCCTTAAAGGTTTTTTATGTTTTCAAAAGGATAATTATTCCTATCTCTTAAGCCTGGTCTGGAAATCCTCCTGTAGTTTAACCTCTCTTCCCTTGTGATTGGTGTCTTCTTATTGGAGCAATCAGTCTGCACCCAATAGATCACTTTATAAAATACTGCTATTGTGTTGTCTTCCAGAGCTTAAAGAAAATGACTTTTGACGGCCAGGTACTATGCCCTTATTCTTTGGTGAACCCCCTTAGAAAGTCCTGTGCCGGGAGTGTGACCTCTTACCTAGTACATATAGGAGCATATAGAAGTTATACACGGTAGATAAATGGAATGTCTTTTCCTTCCTTGTTTGTAAAAGCAAATCAGTTACTAAGTCTGTTACCCTACCTACAAAATAAGAATTGTACTATTTCATTATTATCTCTATATAAAGTAACTTGTTACTTATAAGTACCTGTGTACTTTACAGTGCCTGGTACTAAAATGTGATAAAACATGCCTGGCACTAAAACATGCCATGAATGGCCGTTACTGTGATATCTATACATGAAAATCAAGAGCAAAGCAAGGAATCTGGGAAGAAATGAGAGAGATGTGCCACAGAAAGAGCAAAACTAGTAGCAACGGTTTTCAAAGCTAAAGGTAAAATTCTGCAAATACAAAGGACAGTAAGACTATACAGTATGGCTGAGAGAAGGCTAAGAATGTGACAGTATTACAGCAAACTAAGCAGACGTCACACTGAAGCCACAGAGGGAAGAATGGAGAATAGCCAAGAGAATGTGCATCGATGAGCACACTCAACATGAGAAAATAATGAAAAAACACAAGGAATTGTCCCTATGTGAATAATGGTCCTCCAGCTTTTCTGTTTTTAAGGAATTTTCTATAGTGATTTTTAAACTCAATTCCAAAGAGCTTTGGACATGTTTAAAAACAGCAAATATTACTGCCACTTCTTGGGAATTTCATCGTCCTGCAACTAGGGTTATATCCTGGCCCTACTCATCCTGAGGCAGCCAAACAATTTTTTCCCTTAGTGCAGTCATCAGCTATCACTGGAGGCTGCCCTGACCACATGCTGTTTGGCTGCTGGCATATCATGAACCTAGAGGAGCATCTGTAAGGCAATTACCACCAAGACCGAGAGGAAGAACTGCACTTCCTTTAAGGGATAAACAGTTGCTATTTTTGGACCCCAGCATGGTAGTCTCATATTTTCAATGAAAGGAATGTAGGGTGCTTTGTAATTAGCTCTAAATGTTTCTGATGCATTGAATTATAACACCTAAAAGTGCTTTTGCATCTTGTGCCAATTTAGAATTATTTCTGTTGGAGCAATGAATTAAAAACATGCTTGCTTTCTCAATTTAAGCAACAGGTTTTGAACCATAGAAGGCAAACTGCTTTTGACTTCTTTCCAGATGTCTGAATGGTGTTAAAATTCAAGTCCATCCAACTGCAAACATTCTGAGATGAGACCCTCCTGCTAAGAAGTGTAAAATTCAAAGGCATGACCAAACCAGGCCATATACCCGTGTGCTAAAATGGGAGAAAGCGATGAATGAGACAATAGCTGAAGTGTTTTCCAGTTGGTTTTACTGGATTGTTTTCAGGGAGAGAAATCAACTTTCAAAGGAACACATGCAATGCACATACAATCTCTCGTTTTTACTAGTCCTAACACTACCATGTATTTGGTTGAAGTAAGTCTTTCTCTTGATATATATATTTAAGAAATAATTTTTCTATTACCATTTAGGAGATACACAGAGATTTCTGTGTACAATATAACCTATTACTATCACGATGAGGGAACACCTAGCAATGCCTCTGGAGAAAAAGTAGCTGATTATAAATTATTACCTAAATACACTTAAACAACTCAGAATTTTCATTTGAAACAATTAAAATGTACCAATATTGGATTTGTGATAATTTATAGAATTATTTGACTCTGACAAAACTATGCCATCACATAAGCTAAAATACAAGATTAGAAAAACTTTTCAGCTAGTTTTTTCATATTAGTACTTTTTAGAGAATTAACTAAAGTGCCAATACTTCCATCTAGAAAAATATAGCCACTGACTGCTCTTCTCCTAGTTTCCTGCCTGGTTCCTATAATAACACATTTTAGGGGAATAAATCAGGGGATACTGACATGCAAAGAGGAAGGAGGTTTTGTCATGTCTCAGTGTTTTGCTATCACACATAGAATAACTTATTATATAATGGAGAAAGGGTAATGAAATTGTGGATTAATCTACATGTCAGATGAACTTAATCTGAAAGATGTGGAAACTTTAGTAAATATGTATTAATATTGCTTAAAAGTGAGGCATTGTAAATATATCAATGAGATTATAAATTACTGCTAAAAGTGCTATAGTATGTAATTATATATATAATACATATATATTAGCACCATGTTTTCAATTCCTATTCCATTGTTATTCATTTGTGTAGGACAGGACATAGGGAAGTAGAGGAACTGGGGATTCTTCTATAGGTTGTTAGGTTAATAAAAACCTTTTAGGCACTTAAGTGGAGACATGTGTTTATCTGTTAGATAGTTTAATAACATGTGGAGCATAAGGAAAACATCTGGATCTTTGGGTACTGAGATAATGAAAGTTTCCTCTTCTACTCCTCAATTTACAGATGTCCTCAATGAGAATTCTTTACTATTTTAAAGAAATGTATATTAACAGCTGAAAACTTTGGGAAGGAGAGCATCAAGAGACCTTAATTCCAATATTTCTTTGCCTTGCCTTAAGAAAGGTAAAAATCAAAGGAAAGATGAGACTATGGCATTGAAATATGAGAACAGTGACTTCACAAACCCTTGTTTCAAATTAAGTTTACTACAGGCTTTCTAGCACTCACTTAGGCAAACTGTTTTATAAAACACAAACTAAAGAAATTAACCCTGTTACAACCATAATCTGTTTTGTAAATCAGGAAGTCATGGAAAAGTAGCAATGGACTGTAACAAGAATTCACTGAGAGATACTGTCATAAATTTACCTTAGAAATATGGTATTACGAAAACACATTTTAGTTTAAAATGTTCTGTGAAAAATGAGAGTATATTTTTTTCCCTAAAATTGTGTTAGGATATTTTAGCTTTATTATTATTAAATTTTGTCTTCTCTAAGCAGTATACTTTAGCTCACTGAAATTAAGCCTGTTTCTGAGAAGCCTCCACTTCTCTTGTACATCTAAGGTAGGAGGAAGTAGAAAAACCAGACGTGGATGAGTAACAGGAAGGAGAGGACACGAAAGAAGAAGAAAGGGAGGGAAATTAGGAACACAATTCAGATGGAACAGCATATCACAGCACTCCACCCACTAAGAACAAGCTGCAGCCTTGATGATGAGTGGGACAGATCACAGCTGGTTATGTCCTCTCTATTGATGTTCTGAGACAATCTCCACAAAGGAAGCCTGATACAGCAGACAACTGACATCAAATCTGCTATCAAGTGTATCTGTTGCAAAGGGAACATCCTATTGGTAGACTAGAGGGTAGGGAAAAATGATGTCACTTCCTTTCTAATCCAGTGAATGCACTGTACAGATTTGTTTTCATTTTCTTGAACATCAAAATGAGTAGGCAAATTTTTCTATAAAGGACTAGATAGTAAATAGGCTTTGGGGGCCAAATGTTCTCTATTACAACTACTCACTTTTACTGTTAAATCAACTTATACAGCTCAGTTCCAGTAAAACTTTATTTACAAAATCAGGCAGCATGCAAATCTGTCCTACATGGCATCATTTGTCAGTACCTAAACTAAACA